GACATTTTTTGCACAAACTAATTCCTCAATAATGAGATTTCAGATAGAACTGGTCTATCTATTTTGAGCTCTTTTCAGAATTTGATGTTTTATGGCCTCTTATCTTTTTAAACCCCAAAAACCCTCTTCTCCCCCCCCCCCCCCCCATCTAAACGATTACAATCACAGGTGAAAATGGCTGCAAATAGATGAGCTATTATATACAATTGTACATCTTAGCAGAGCCTCCTGCACAACCAACGAGAATGCAGGATGTGGCTTCTGGATGGTAAGTCGACAATAAAACACTTGTCTTTTCCAGCAGCCATTGTAGATCACATAAAAGCGGTAAAACCAGCTGACCAAACATGCCAGAGCTCAGCTTGGGTTGCCAGGTAACAGGCCAGGCTTTGCTGGGGTTGCTAGATGAGGGCCAGTGCCTGCAGATATGTGAGGTTTTTGAAAAGGCTCAGATTCCAGACACCAAAAAACATCAACTTATTGCCAAAAATCAGCTGGGTGGGGCTTTTAATAAGCACTTAAGCTGTTTTTAAAAGCAGTTGAGACCAAAATCGAAGTAAAAAATTTACAAAATGTGAATTTTGTGTGATAAGTCTCCTTTAAACATCACATAAAGTAGGCGTACCTCTGTCAGATGTCCAGTGTTGTGGCTTGGTGAGCTGCTGGTCAGCACATGTTGAGCTGCTTCCTATTAACCCACCAAGTCCTGTAATGAGAAGCCAGGCGATGATTATGATGATGCCAACATCCTGATTTCTAAAGAGAAAAACACTAGGAGAGATTTTACGGGTAATGGGGATATTTGCGCTTTAGATGTTTTTGGTGATGCTTCCAAGTTACCATGGTGACGAGAATTATCACCTGGGGTTCTAATGGATGTTTTGCATGTTAATCCACAGTAGGCGGCTCTGTTTTGGCAAGTCCATAATTACACAAACAAGCTGTCACCTCAGCAGTCTAGACGCCATCAAAGCCTGGAGTTTCAAAATCAATACCTTGGAGAAATTACAGATGAGGAAATGATGGGCAGTGAGGCATTAATCACAACATGATGAGTGAAAAGCAGAGAGTGTGTTTGTAAACCCAGTGCGGTGGGTTTCAGCTTAAAAGGTGCTTCCTTGTCAGAAACAATGTTATTGCAGTGGGATTACCGGAGGAACACCCCTGCTGGTCCAGACCCCACAGCTTTATAGCTATGGGGTCACTGTAAATCCTTTGCAGTATTTACAGTGCCAACCATCTGGTTTAGAACAAGCAGCCTGCTCCTGTTGGGTAGCAGTTGAAGAACATTTCTGCTGCAAAATCCTCCTTCCAGACAGCTCCAAGGACCCAATCAGAGTTCATCAATCAGCTGCTCCCAATGAGGAGCACTGAAATATGGATTTAAGTGACATTTCTGGACAGTTTTGTAGGGGTCATGATACAGATGTTTCCCCAGATGGTTTCAAATGAGATTTATTTGTTACATACATGATAGTAACTGTGGGTTTCTTAACTATTGACCACTGTTAAACAGATAAAAGAGCATCAATGAGCATTTCTCATGTTAAACCGTCACTACAGGGCTAAATTACCATCAGATTGCTCCATAGAAATAAATATTAGAAACACTCAAGTAAATGATTAGCTTAATAGCATATTTTTATGAGGGACCGTTCAAGAAATTACTAGAGTGAAAAAAAAAGTATTTGGTCAAAAGGCTACTCAAGTACTGAGTAACAGACAAAAAAAAAAATCGAAATTATGACAAATGGACCAAAAATATGAAACTATATGGAAATGGAGGTATTTTAAAGACCAGAATGAAAATAAATAAATAATAAATAAATAAATTCTAGCAAATCAATTTCTTTGGAAGTAAAATTTACGAAACTAGCAAAAACAGGAGTGAGTTTTTGGCTAAAACAAGCTCGTTCTTCATTCAGTGAAGTTATTTTAGTATCCAGAAATTTGACCCAAAGTCGCGATACTACATATTGCTATTACTCAAATAAAATTAAAAGGCACGGCATGTTAAAAATACTCATGGAAGTACTTTTTTCCCCCTCTAAAAAGTTACTCAAGTAAATATAACTTGTTAGTATCCAACTCTGTCAGTCCCCCATCACCTCTAACGGTTAATTATAAGATGCCAGCTCACATAAACTAACAAATAAATTATATTTAATCACTACAGTCAGAGTTACACGGTTAGCTTTCCCAATGTTAGCATGGACTTCTAGCACAATTAATATTATTGTGTCAATAACTGATATTTACCTGTTGACAGATCCGACCGACAGCAACAATGACCGTCTCCGTTGTTCAACACCCGTTACGGCGTTGAACTGTCGTTAGATAACTACCGTACTCAAGGTGTTCAATACGCCTTCTGGTGGAAAATTGCTGCAATTACATGCCTACTGCCACCCTGAGTCTCAGTAGGAGAAATGCAGCTTGAGGAAAAATGTCTACGTTAAAACAGGAGTCATCACTTTTAATTAAGATAAATGAAAATAGAGGGGGTGTAATTATATCTAACGTCTATTCTGTCCCATATCCATAACATATTGAAGAGAGAAAAAACATTTACTAATCTCCCATAATTTCTGTTCCCCAAAACTATTTTCCAGACAGAAAACTATTAAAGCTAACAAAAAAAAAAAAAAGACAATTTGGATAAAATTTAAAGTTTGAGGTTTTGAATTTTTTTTATATTTTGTATTTTTTTTAAACAGAGGCAGTAAAAAGAAAAAAAAAACAGAACAAAAAAACCCTGCAGTAATATAATTATATTGTAATATTTTTAAACGCTTAAAACGTCTCCCGCAGGTGTTTAAACAGTGTGGATAAACTACAAAGCTTCTTTTTATGCTAAATTGAACGGACTTTTAGCCTTTTTAATTTAACTTAAAAAAAAAAGAAACTTATGAAACTTACCCAATGACAGCAGCGAGTAGTCCGTTAAAGCCCAAAGTTACTCCGATATGCTCCCTGCTCTGCCTTTAGTGTCCGAATGAAGAGGCCGACCTCTGTAGAAGCATTTAAACTGCGTGTTAACTAAAATCATGCATGCAGCTCTACCTCCACCTACTGTTGGATTTGGGTATATTCTCACATCTTGAAATAAAACCACTCATTACATTACATAGATCCAAACTTTTGAACGTTTGATTGCGCATCAACTTTTTTTTTTTTTTTTTAAATCATTACTTATTTAAAATTATTTCTTGAGAACATCTATCAGCTTGATTGACACCCATGAGGCAATTCAACCTATAAAGCATGATTTTCCTCAGCAAAAAGCAGACATACTGTACATCCATGTCGGCATTATAAAGACATGACAGTTTGATTCTTTAACTGGGAACAATTTGTCCAATTTTTTTATATGTAAGTATTTGTAATTGTAAATACTTACATATGTTAATGTTTCTTTATTAACAGATGTTTGATCTAAGCAATCAATATCTTTGCTGTTTGAATCTCACTGTGGAGTTCCCTCTGATTTTGAAAGCAGAGTTATGACGCACAAAAGCTTAATACAACTAAAGCCACCATTTCCTTTTTTTATTACAGATTCAGTGGATCTTTTTAAGAAAACATCTGTTCTTACAAATCCTGAAGTAACACCCTGACAAAGGTTAAAGCAACAGATTAACTACAAAGTTAATCTGTTGCTTTAACCTTTGTGATTAAAGCAGCATAGAGGATAGTTGTGCAAAACATCTGAAACAAATTGCGCAGCTCTAGAGACAACAACCAGTCTGTAATTGAACTCTGCCTGTCAGGAACTCCTGCATTCTTTTATTACAGTGTCATTAGGAAAGAGCTGCTGTTCGATCAAGAAGGAAAGTCCGGCTTATTCCACTAATGGTCAAAGTACAGTTCTTCTTCAGCTGCTTTGGTCAGGTCCTCCTTGATGTCCAGTGTAGCAACCCTAAAATATGGTATCCCACAAAGGACACAGAGGTGCTAAAGGTGGTAAAAGACGATAAATCTATCTGCAAAACTGAGGAACAAATGACATACTTACATTTTTTGTGGCGTCCTTTGAAGGTTTTTTTTTATTCCTGTGTATGATTTAAAAGTAATTCAATTAAAATGTTAGCAAATAACTGATTTTGAATCATTAATGAGGTAAAACAATGAAAAAAACGATTAGACAGAAGTACCTATTCCACGCAGGACAGTAAAAAATTCCAGGCTGCCACTGCTGCAGCAACAGAAAGCCATCCTGTAGGAAGAAGACGTGTTATTCAAAAAAAAAAAAAAAAAAAAAAAAAAAAAAAAAAAACTCTGACCGTGAACTTACCGACGCCTCTGTGATACGATGCAGAATATATAGGTGACACTGAAACTGAAAATGAAACTGAAACGTTTAAATCACACCAGCCATCAAATGATCATCAAACGAGGTTCTCACCATAAGCCTTCAGGCAGGTTCTCCCTATCAGGTTTCCGTCAGGGAAGGTGGTGAACAGACAGCGATAACATCCTGCATCCTGCTCTGTGACGTTCCTGATAACTATGGAGCTCTTCTGCGATCCAGCTTCCGTAAACTGAATTTTGTCTTTATATTCTGGATACACCGATGAACCAAATTTCTCGGAGTAAGTGCAGATATTCTTCTCTGTGTTCCCCGAGACCTTCTGCCAGGTGACCTGCGAGACAACTTTAGTTTCCAGGAGCTGACAGCTGAGAGTGGCATCTTTTCCCAGTGCTGCCGACACCGTCTGCTGGGTTTGGACCACAGCTGCTACACCTGTAGGAAACACTCACTTATATAAAAACAGGGTGCAATTTTTAGGCTAAAGCTAAATTATTCTTGTATTCATCAAGTAAAAGGCACTCCTTTTGAGACAAGCACAAAGAGAACAAAAGATGAAATTTAAGTGGTTCTGTCTTAATTGAGCAAAAAAATCTGCAAAATGTGCCAATTTTTTTATCTGATTAATAGTCAGAATAATCTATAAATTAATAAATAACTAATAATGTTTGTCTGATGTTCTCATAAAACCAGCAGCAGTCTGTATGGAGGTAAAACATACCTTGTGTTGCTCGTAGGATCCACAGCAGCAGGCACAGGGGGAGGACCGGTCCACACATCGTCTGACCCAGTTGGTTTCACATCTGCAAACACAGCCAGCGAGCCACAGCCGATCTGTTCAACCACCGTCACAGCGCTGAATTGCTGTTCTTGCCCTATATAAGAAAGTATCAATAATATTGCGCAAATAAATTATTTCATCTTCACTAACTTCTTCTGCAACACAAACAAATGCAGCGTAACAATTATATAGAGGGGCATAGAGTTCCCCCCCAAAAATACTTCACCATATTTTTATTCAAGTGAAAGTAAAATGTCATTCAAGAAATTTTGTATTTTAAAGATGAGAATGAAAGTAATTCATATAAATAGCATAATTACAAGGTAACAAAATTAGGCAAAAAATACATTTCTTTCAATATAAAACTTATACAGCTAGCCAAAACCGCAGGTGTGTGTCTGAGTCTGGTGAATTTGTGTTTAAAACAAGACTGTTCTTCTTTCAGTTAAATTACTCAAAGTCTACTCAAGAGAAGGGGTTCTTCATAATAAGATTATTCAAGTCAAAAGTACGGCGTAGTTAAAATACTCCCAAAAAAGTTACTCAAGTAAATGTAACGGAACAGATGTAACTAGTTTCTACCCCTGTGTTAGTCCCACATTAGCGGGACGGTTAATTCTAATTGCTAATTTACTGAAACGAACACGAAAAACATTTAACCACTAAACAGTCTGGGATAAACAGTCAACTCTTCTCAAATATGGAAAGTTGTGTGCAGCTGCAGACATTAACATTGCTATAATTGTGTCGATTTATATTTTACCTGTTGACAGATAAGACGGTCCCCGCTGTTCAACAGCCGTAACGACGCTGAACTGTCGTTGGGTCGTCAGAAGTACTCAATGTGATCGATATGCCCACTTGTGGCGAACTGCTGCAACTACATGCTTATTGCCAACTTCAGTCTCAATGGGAGAAATGCAGCTTGGTGAAAAATGTGTAAATACAGGGCAGTCTTTAATACAAAGAAAATACACGAAGAAAGGGGGTGTAATTATGTCCAACGTGTATTTTGTCCCATCTTTAAACAGGTGACGTTACTCCTTTCTGTCTTGTGCATTGCACGTATCAATGAAGTTTTTATTTTACTTTATTTTTTAAATTTCTTCTGTACTACAACAAAAATCTTTTAAGAATAGGAAGCAGCAAAACCACAGAGCACATACACAGGCCTTGGGAATGTCCACTTGTTTATTTTGCTTAAAATGTTCACAAAATAGCAGAAAACTTTTTAATGTAACTGTTTTGGAGCATCAGATGAAAATTGTCTAGATCTATTATTTAAAAAAATATCAAGTCCAGCTAGTGTGGGTTTTTTTTTATAATGAAAGAATATCAATGTCTGTTTTATTTATAGCAACAGTGAGATAAAGATTGACACGTTCACTCGACTCATTTTACTCTTCAACACGTGCCACTATTTAAATAAATACACAAGTTTTCCGTTTGTATAAAATGTATTGGAAAGGATTATTAAAATGTAGAAAAAAAAAACAAATTCACTTTGTATCTCAGTATGTTCATATAAAAAAATGTACATTTGCTTTCCATTTAGTTTTAGTGAAAACAATAAACACCATATTTTAACACAAATGTTCTCTCTTTACACATATACATATATATAAAAACTGACGACCTCAACAGTGTTCAAAATACTAAAAATACAGACACACACTCATAATAAATGCTTTTAACCATCATGTTTAGCTTCTGACATTATTTAAGATGGCTGCTTATGTCACAATAGCAAAACAAAACTATAGTGAACAATATTTTTTAAAATCCAATAGTTTTTGGAGCCACCTCTATTGTAACTACACAGTTCCAGTTAGCATGTAGCATATATGACTGCACAAAGAATAAATTGTGTATTTTTTTCTACGGTGAGCGTTTTTGTTCCATAATTATTGACAGCATGCAGGAAACGTGGATGAGCTTCATTGAAGCCAATGGTTAATTAGGCAACATGGCTGCCGACTGACAGAAACAATCTATCAATAAAAGTGAAACTTTTCAGGAAATGAGAAAACATCTTGCATTAAACATTAAAATGCAAGTCAAGTGGTTTATTATATTATTTAGATTTCTTGGCAGTTAGTTTTTGATGTAGTCTCATACCCTCAGGTGAACAGCTTTCTATATCAGGTGTTGTTGGTGATGTTGGTGATGTTGGTGATTGCTGCTTGCTAGTTTGTCTGTTAATAAGGACACATGTGTTATTGTCGTTGTTCTTTTCAGGCATCTGACGCTCTTCAGACCTTAAAAAGAAACAAAAACAAGATTTAGATGAGAAACTTTTATAAATAAACACAAGGAAAGATAAATATATTATTATAGCAAGGAGCAAATGTGATATGAGGAATATTCAAAGGAAATAAAGAAAACAAATAAGAGTCTTACTGATTATTTTTAGTTTGTTCTGTAGGATTTTTCTTGTTCCTGTGAGGCACATGCAGAATTTAAGAATGAGGAAAAAGAAAAACATTGCTGACAAAACGATAAAGCTGTCTGAAAATAGTTACCTGTTCTGATGCTTCTTTTTGAACCACAACATGGATAAAACCCCAAAAGCTCCACAGAGAAACACAAGTAATCCCATTGCAACAGTTACAAGCCATCCTTTGGAGAAAGAGCAACAGATTTCAGCAACATTTTTGAATAAATAAAAATACTCCCATGCCTGATTCTGAACTTACTTTCATCCTTATCATCAGATTCAAAGTCTTCATCAAAACCTGTCCAAAAATGAATCATCAGAACCACAAAGTGACCATCAGTCTCACCTTTGCAGTGATTAACAATAACATCTAAAACCTATTTTATGTCACAGATCTTCCATTGGACGTTTGCAGCCACATCTGCAGTCTTACTGTGTTGAATATATATACAATGCACAGGAGGTTCATGGTTTTTTAGTCATTAAAATAATTTCTTACCATCAGATGAGTCTTTGAGTCCAGGAACGGTGACCAGCAGCTCTCTGAGAGCAGCAGTTTGCACGAATACTGAACATTCAACCTGTGTGCTGCTGAGAGCTGAGAGCAGAGCAGTGGTGGTGGAAGTGATGGTACCGTTGGTGTTGGTCACTCTGCTGGTGTTGTAGTGGGAGAAGCTGAGGTTCTGATGGAGAACAGTCAGTGTTACCATGGGAACAGGTCGACCTGTGGCTGAACAGGTCACAACTGACCCTGGAGGAGAGTTTGATCTGCTGATAGTAATGAAGGGTCCATGCAGCTCTGTGGAGAGAACAGACAGAATTTTAAAACATCAACCAGAGTTCACCATCTGCAGATGTTCTGCTGCTCTTCACTCACCATTAAGTTTTAGGCAGGTTTTGCCTATCAGCGCTCCGTTAGGATAGGTGTTAAACAAACATCGGTAGCAGCCTTCATCCTCCTCCATCACCTTCCTGATCACCATGGAGCAGCTCTGCAGAGATTCATACTGAAAATCCATTTTCTCCTCCACACCTGCACTCACTCTGGAACCAAACTTCTTGGTATAAGTGGCGAGGTTCTTCTCTCCATTAGGAAGGACTTTCTGCCAGGTAATCTGGAGGACATCTTTATCCTCAGTGAGCCGACAGCTCAGAGAAGCCTGGTCTCCCACTGCTGCCCAGACAGTCTCCTTTGTTTCTATTAGAGCAAACTGACCTGAAGAAAAGTTTCCAGAATTAAGGCTCTAAATATTAACATCAAAAAGTTCTGGCCAATAAAATGTAGACTTGTGTATATCAGTAACCTTAAGAAGAGTTTTCTTTCCCTTGTGGACTATAAAGAAAAATATATATATCTGCATTTTTAACATTTAAGCTCAACTTCCTCATTTGATGCTGTAGTACTGAAATAAAAATGAAACCAAATATTTAAATTATTTAGGAAGTGCAAAATGTCCTAGAAAAAACAAAATTATTTAGAACAAAAAAATATAACAACAACAACAAAAACAAAACTTTAATATCTAGTTCGAAAAGAAGACAAAGCTTAATAAATCCTGCCTCCAAGTAATACAATTAAGTCATATGCTGCGATTCTTCCCCGTTTGCTGGGTCATGAATAATTTTTCTTTTACCTTCATAACTAAGCACAACTTTGTTTTGTTTTATCTCATAAAACTTCAATAGAATAAACGGAAATGTGTGGTTTTAATGTGAAATATGTAAACAGGTAGCTCTGTCTGCGCCATGTCTGTTTACATAACAGCGGAACCGTCACATTTAGTCAAAAACACTTCCTGTTCATCTTTAACAATTATAACTATAAGTAGTAAGATGGCTCGTTGTCGTTAACACCAAGTACGTTTCAAAAACACCAAGTTCGTGTTCTTGTAAAAACACGAAAGTTAGATTTCAATGAATTATTGATAATTTATTGTTTGTCATCGTATAACTCACTATAACGTCGCGCGTTTCACGCATTTGCGGACATTTCAACAAAATAAACTTTAAAAAGTTGACGGAATACGTCATTTCATCTATTAACTACACGGATTATTAATTTCTCCTCACCTGTGTGAAGTAAGCTGCTAATAAAAACGCAGCTGATGACTGCAGCGTTTTGCATTGTTGACGGAAAGTTTAAAGATTCACAGCTACTGAGTCTCAGAAGTGCGCGTGACGTCATTACGTCGCCAGGTGTTGGATTAAAAATGAAATATAAAATAACGTCATCAGTTATTATACGGATTAGTCTAGAATCAACGACTTTACTGGGTCAACAAATCCATGCAAGAAGCTGAGTTTATTTGAAAAGGCAGCCTGATAAACCTGGAGTAAAAAAAACAGATTTGTTAAATAATTCTTTGATAGATTTTTATAAAATGACTCCATAAATCAATATTTGGATATTACGTTTCAAACTTTACATTGGAATTAACTAAAAAAATGTTGCACCAAGTTTTTCAAACTTTATATTTTTGTAATATTTGAGAATATTTCCAACCCGGTTACTGTTCTGTATTTGAGGACTTGTCTAGAATTGTCTTTAAAATCAAATGAGCTCCTGTGGCATTATGTACTCTATCATGAAAAACAAGATCAGTTTTGATGGTTAAAAAATGTAATTTATTCGGAGGTACAAAATTGATTATGTATTTTTTTCTCACCTTTCTGATGGGTGAAGCCCAGTTTCAGTGTGGGAACTGAATGTAGTTGTGAAAATATGAGAAAGTGAAAAAAATTGAGTACATTAGGAAATTTAACAATCAGAACAACATGACACACTCAAAATGATGTATTGTAATACTGTGATTTGGTGGGAAAAATTGCTTGGACCAGTTATTGTTTGGACTTTCTTAAAACCTTTATAGTAATGCGTTTTTTTGTGACAGGTGTTGATTCCTGCCTTGCACTATTTTGTACATCAGCATGTTTGTTTCATATCTACATTTTCCAGATATTAAAGCAAATGTTTCAAACCAAACGTGTATCTACTGAGCATTTATTCATAACCTGCAGTAAGAGAATGTTTGCCGACATTAATAAATCACACCTTCAGGGCTTCTTCCAAAATATTTATTACCATAATTCAGCAGAATAACTACTTCCTCGTCAAAACAAACTGATATGCAATTCTATGATATATTAATACGAGATGTATTATTTATGATTATGAAACAGTACTTAAATAATGTGTCAACAACTATAAATTAACTTTTTCTAAAAAAGGCAAAAAGGGAAATTAAAACAAAGAAAATTCTCCATAAAATAATTTGTTTTTATTTTAAATGAAATGCATATTGACATTTAATTAATTAAAATCATCCTTATGTTGAAATTATTACAAAGTTTTTTAAATCATCCACTTCATCCATCATCTTCCTATAGGGTCAGGTTGTGGAGGCCAGCTGAGAAACGTCGTCCCTCCATCGTGTCCTGGTTCTTCCTCTGGGTCTCTTCCTGATGAACCCGGGACATCTTACCAAGGAGCATCACTTCACAATAAGTTCTTTTCCCACAGCCTTTGACCTCAATGTGACTGTTTCATCTCTTCCACCACAAGTAATAGGTCAGTTAGTTTTCTTTCCATGTTTAACGTTGTTCAAGACAGATGTTTCTTTTAGTTGTTCTGCTAACTGCTGCACTCTGTTGGAGTTGCGCTTCAGATACGGTGGACATACGATGTCTGCTACTTTCATGGGTATCACAAGAGGTTCCAAAACACTGAAAACAACAACAGGGAACATCTTATTTTGTGATATTTTTTTGTTTCTTTTGCCATTTTTTCATGCATTTGAAACAAAGTTAAATCTGATGAACACATCAGATGGGAAGAAGGCATGAAATGTTCTAAAATTAAAGGTTAGATAAATCTGTAGCGCATGAGAAAGAAAAGGAAGATATTAGTAAATGTAGAAGTAGGTTAATCTTTTAAAATGTTGCAAACAAGAGAAAGCAAATAAAGGCTGGTGTAAATTAGGAATAACAATAAAAGTCTTACAGAGAATCGATATCTGATGCATCTTCACTTTCCCAGTGTGATACAAATATATTCACTTGCGATTAAGTGGCTATTGCTACTTCCATTTAATATTATACCAACCTGGTGTCTTCCCTTGTCTGTACTGTAGCATCCTCCTTCTCTTCTTTATCCTTACAGCTGTTAAACATGTAATCTCTGCAAAGTGGATTTAAAACATTACAGCAGTCAAAGCACATGAAAAAAACATGACATTTTTAATAAATATATCACAACAGCACTAATGTTCTATTGAGTGAAAATATTTAAACTCAGGTTTATCACTACCAAGTTCTATAAGTTGTATTTTATAACTTATCTAATAAAACAAATAACTGTTATTTATATCTTTTACACATGCACAAACAGCTATTAAATTACAAAAAAATCAGACTAGCAGTTTTCTTATGCCATTACTTTGGTGCCCTTCTATTGCGGCACCCCTACGAGTCGCATATGGTTCATACCAACGTTTATACCAGTGAGAAAGCTGAATGAATATTGAAATATTGACGAATGACAATAAAAATGGTCTTACATCAACATGTCCTTCTTCCTGTGTGATACAAATATATTTTAATCACACAAACATTAATTGGCAGATAAAGACATTTACTGAGATGACCTTTTTAAAAGGTAAAAAATAAAATCATTATAAAGATGAATAAATATTGGTGTAACTGAAAAACAGGAATAAAAGTATCTTACTGAGAGTTGATGTCTGATGTATCTTTATGTTTCCTGTGTGTTTAAATATAGTTTTATCACAAACATTCATCATTTCATTGAGACATTTACTGAGATGATATAACCATCTAGACACTGTAACAGCAGTACCTTTTCTCTGCCTGTTTTCTGAGCAGCACAAAGAAGAGAGCAGCAACACAGAGCGCCAACACTAATCCAGCCACCACAAACAATCCTTTGGAGAAACAGGGACATGTCGATGTGAACGATTCAAATTGTAAATGTAAAAACTGAAACCTCAGCATGAACTTACCAATAATAATGTAATTTGAACCAGGTTCTACATCCAAACCTGGTGAGAGAAGATCAGAGATCAGAGTCACAAACAGATCATCAGTCTATAAATGAGTCTTCAAAAAAGTTCCTCACCATCATCAGACGTCTCTGTGAGTCCAGGAACGGTGACCAGCAGCTCTCTGAGAGCAGCAGTTTGCACTAATACTGAACATTCAACCTGTGTGCTGTTGAGAGCTGAGAGCAGAGCTGTGGTGGTGGAAGTGACGGTACCGTTGGTGTTGGTCACTCTGCTGGTGTTGTAGTGGGAGAAGCTGAGGTTCTGATGGAGAACAGTCAGTGTTACCATGGGAACAGGTCGACCTGTGGCTGAACAGGTCACAACCGACCCTGGAGGAGAGTTTGATCTGCTGATAGTAATGAAGGGTCCATGCAGCTCTGTGGGGAGAACAGACATGACAAATGTTACACAAAATATTATAACAAATGTTATACAGAGAAGAGTTCACCATCTGAAGATGTTCTGCTGTTCTTTACTCACCACAGAGTTTTAGACATGTTCTGCCTATCATCGCTCCTTTAGGATAGGTGTTAAACAAACATCGGTAGCAGCCTTCATCCTCCTCCATCACCTTCCTGATCACCATGGAGCAGCTATGCAGAGATTCATACTGAAAATCCATCTTCTCCTCCAGATCAGGTCTCACTCTGGAACCAAAGTCCTTGATGTAGGTGGCGAGTGTCTTCTCTCCATCAGAAAGAACCTTCAGCCAGCTGATCTCAAGGATGTTTTTATCCTCAGTGAGCCGACAGCTTAGAGAAGCTTGGTCTCCTACTGCTGCCCAAACAGTCTCCTTTGTTTCTATCCCAGCCGACTGACCTGAAAGAAACGCAGTCAACAGTAAAACTGGTTCATAAAAGGAGCACTTATTGTTTAAAAAAATGTTTGGATTAAGTTGTTTATTTGTAGAACGTAGACTGATTGGTTTTATTCAAATGCATATTAACAAACGCACAAAATGGTCGTAAATATTACAAATTTAGCAAAATACTCATTTCCATCCGTAGTCCCTCGTTTAAACAACACACACACGTTCATAGGTGACGCCATCCCAGATTAGGTTCGTTTTTAACCGAGGAATAACAAATACACTCATCCTTATTGCACTGATCTGATTACTATTAAGGCATCCAGTTATTGTGTGTTGTAGTCGCTGAAACCTTTTAAAATAGATTTGCAGATTATAAAATTACACATTTTTGACTAAAGTTAAAAACAGACTCGCAAAGATGAGGAGAAAGTAGCCAATGTGCTCCGGTGTATAAAAACAAAGCTGCTCTCACCTGTCTGAAGGACGGTGGTAACTAAAAAACAGATGATTGTAACAGCAGGTTACAATCATCTTTGTAACCTGCTGCGACTCTTTCAAGTCAACATACTTCCTGTTCCACCTGTTCATGCAGAACTGCTGGAGCAGAAAGTTGAGTCTGAACTGTAACGTCATGAGTCACGTGGATTTAACCTCGTTCATCAGCTTCATTAAAAGTGTTTTGATCCTGAAAAAAAACAACTAATATTACATCAAATATAAATCTCTGGCGGAAGTTATTCTCACCCAGACAGTCAGCATGAACAATTTTTTTGTTAAAAGACATAATAATAATGGCTGTGGAAATAAATAAGACATGAGAAGTGTGCACTGAGAATAAGTTCCAACTTGTCGTCCACAAGCTTCACTCTCTTTTATCAGTCAGTGGCTTAAAAACGTTTAACTTCTCAGAATATAATTCAAAACACAAGATCATTGTATTGAAATTAATTTTTATATATTAATGTTTTGTTCCAGTGAGTCTGACCTTTCAACTGGTCTTCAACAGCTTACCTGTTTTTCTAAATGTATTTTAAAGTATTTATTTGGACTGTGGTTATTGTTTTTTTAGTAAGCCATGACAGCAAAACCGGTAGTTCTGGAAATATTAGAAAGTCAAAAAAATTGAGTACCTTGTGGAATTTTAAAGAGAACATCACACACTCAAAATGTTATGTTGTAATAATGTGATTCGGTGGGGAAAAAAAATTTCACCGCACAAGACGATGTAAAAATCTGTGACTCTTCTCTTCCACGCAGTTTAATCCTTCAAAAAAAACTTTGGACCAATTATTGTTCTGACTTTCTTAAAACCTTTATAGCAATGTGTTTTTGTCACAGTTGATTTCCGCCTTGCACTAATTTGTACGTCAGCGTGTTTGTTTCAGATCCACATTTTCCAGATTTGAAAGCAAATGTTTCAAATCAACTGTGTATCTATTGATCATTTATTCATAACCTGCAATAAGAAATTGTTTGCAGACACCAATAAATCACAACTTAAAGCATTGTACCAAAATATTTATTACCATAATTCAGCAGAATAACGACTCATCAAAATAAACTGATAGGCAATTCTGATATATTGATATGAAATGCTTTATTTATGGCTATGACATAGTACTTAAATAATATGTAAACAACTATCAACTAACTTATTCTTGAGAATACACAAGAGAAATTAAAACAAAGAAAATACTTCAGAAAGGAATTTGTTTTTACATTTTTTATAAAGTAAATTCATTTTACTTTATGAAATAAATGCATTTTTTATTTAAAATAAAAAATGCATTTTACTTTTTATTTAAATGAAATGCATATTTATATTCATGATTTAGCTCATTCAAATCAGGGTGGTGTTGAAATTATTACAAAGTTTTTGTTTTATTAATCGTCCATTCCATCCATCATCTTCCTATTAACCTGGGGTCAGGCCATGGAGGCTCCTTTGGGGGAATCCCAAATTCTCAGACCAGAAGAGAAACGTCGTCCCTCCAGGGCGTCCTGGTTCTTCCTCTGGTCTCCTGTCCTCCTGATGTACCCGGAACATCTTAACAAGGAGCCTAACTTCACAATAAGTTCTTTTCCCACAACCTTTGACCTCAGGTGTAGCTGTTTCATCTCTTCCACCACAAACTGGTGGGTCAGTTAATTTTCTTTCCTTGGTTAACCTGTTCAGAGTCAGACGTTACTGCTGGTTTGACTGATGACTCCTGGTCTCTGTTGTGGCGTTTTGTTAAGCCTGGTGAACTATATCGGGAGACGTATATTGATTCGGGTACCACAGGTTCTTCAATGACCCTGAAAATAACAACAGAGAACATCTTATTTTGTGCTTTTTTTCCCTTTTTCGTGCATTTGAAGCAAAGTGAGTTAAATCTGACAAACACATCAGATGATAAGAAGGCATAGTGACATATTAACAATTTAAATTGTTCTAAAGCTAAAGGCTACATAAATCTGCAGTCCTTGAAATACAAAGAAAAGAGAGATGGTAGTAAAAGCAGACAGAAGTGGACCAATATTTCAAGAATGTGTCAAAGCAAGAGAAAGCACAGGAGTGTTACTGTTTACTTTGTGATGTGTATGCATTATATGCACGCCCTAATCACTTGAGATTAACTGGCTACTCCTACTTCCACTTAATATTAGACCAACCTGTTGTCTTCCATTCTCTCTTCTGTACTGTTCTTCTTCTCTTCTCCATCCATGAGTGTTCCGCTAAGTGGGTTAAAAAATACAGAAGTCAAACTACATGAAGACATTTAAACTTAAAGGTATAACGACCAAGTTCTATAAGTTATCTGTTTAGTGATTCATCATCTAGTTATACACATAACTGTCTGAAGAACAAAATAAGCACAAAGAAATTCCTGTATTTTTCTCAAATGACATGGAATATATTTAAAAACTAATGCAAAACCAACAAGATTTAGACTTTTTCTTTGCAGATTTTTTCCACAGGTTTGTGAAATAAATTATTGTTCTCATTATCTGTAATAAGGAGAGGAGTGCCATCTAGTGTTTGTAAATACAAATTGCAGACGGCAGTCAAAATAGGGGCATAAGGGACACTTAAATGAGGCGAATGCGAAAGCAGTTGGATACTCCATTACACACGCGGGTTTGCAACTCAACAACAAAACAAGAAATATTTTCAATTTTTGTTTAAAACAGTTTCTGTCCCACATCGTTAACCGTCTGTTGGGCTCATTACTACATGTGGGAGGGACACCAGCAAAGGAGGTGAAGGAGCAGAGCGGCTCCTATTCTCTTATTGATTAAATAAGCACATGCACAAACAGCCGTTAAATTCAGAAAATGCCAACTGGCAATCATTTTTACGTTTACGCCAATGAGAAAGCAGAATAAATATTGGTGTAAATGAGGAATAACTATTAAAAGGGACTTACTTCAACATGTCCAACGCTTCTTCATTCATCATAACAGAGTTGATTTTTGTTGCATCTTTATGTTCCCTGTGTGATTAAATATATTTTCATCACACAATCGGCTGATTGAGACATTTACCAGTCTATTATGTTGCACATTCTCAGCAACAAGGCAGTTCAAAGTTCTTTACATGAATTAGAAGGAAATTCAAACAAAACAATGAAGCCAAAATAAAGATAAAAAAGTCAAAGTACAAAACTACATATTGGTTCCTCATTTTAAGAATAAGTAGTGTGTAATGTATAAACTATTAGGGGTTTCTCTGGATTCTTGTTCTGATAAAATTAGATATTGGGTCTCCATGTTTGGCAAGATTAGTGAGGTATACCAAATATTGTTTCTCCACGTTTGATTTTATTAGTAAGCATAAAATTAAATGTTGGTTTCAGCTGTTCTGGGTTGAGTTGTAGATTTGTACAGTATAAAGCTAAATGCTGGTTCTCCATGTTTGCTTCTTGTTCTGGACTGCTAAGTAAACTAACAGGAGTTTCTCTAGGTTTTGGTCCAACATTAAACGTATAAAGCTAAATGTTGGTCTAGAGTAATGAGTACTCCACAATTTCTAAAAGTAATAAACTAAGCAGCTTTCTGTTTTAAATTCTTGTCTAAAGTAATAGAGGTGACCTTTTTGTTAGTAAATGCAATAATTATAAAGATGAAGAACTATTGGTGTAAATGAAGAACAAGAATAAAAGGCTCTTAGTGAGAGTTGATGCCTGGTGTATCTTTATGTTTCCTGTGTGATCAAATATAGTTTTATCACAAACATTCATCATTTGATTGAGACATTTACTGAGGTGATATAACCATCTAGACACTGTGACAGCAGTACCTTTTCTCTGCCTGTTTTCTGAGCGACACAAAGAAGAGAGCAGCAACACAGAGCGCCAACACTAATCCAGCCAGCACAAACAATCCTTTGGAGAAACAGGGACACATGTCGATGTGAACGATTCAAATTGTAAATGTAAAAACTGAAACCT